AAAGGAACCAAACTCTGCTCAGTTAGAGGGATGGGGCAGATAAATGTAGCCCAGAAATGAGCATTGTGGTAGATAGAATCAGCTAGGGACTGTTAGTTGTCCTTAGATGTGACTGAATTCAGGGGTCTTGATCTTTGCTGCTGTAACAAGAGGAGGGAAACATATCTGCACCCAACCTGAATGTGCTCCAGGTATCTTAACCTACATTTGGTCTGAGAAGGACTAGGTGGTGGTTGAATACTTCCTAGGGACCAGGGTTCTTGGTAACTCAATAGTAATCAGCTGTCTAGGAGGTAAATGAAAGAAAGAATAAGCCAACTGGTCTTGAATGTTTTGCCAGTTGTCCAGGTGGCCCTAAAAGTTCATCTAGCACAGAATTTGGTGCTAATGATCTACCAGCTCTAAAAAATGTATTCCTGGGCTCTTGTGTATGTGTTTAAATGCCAGTCAGATTTCTGCGATGGTCAGGAACATTTATACTTGGGTTAGAGACCTACAGCTAGTCAGGAGCAGGGTGCCTAGTAAGATATCAATAGCCTGTGTGTCATAAGCCCCAAGTCACTGAAAACAAACATAAACTGTTTTTCTTTTCCAGCCTGGGGTTACCTATGCTCTTCCAGGTCAAGATACATCAGCAGGACTGGAACCTAGTGCTGTAGGCTTCAGAAACCATAACCTCGGGCTTTCCCACAATAACCCTGTTGCCTCTGAATCCAGCTCTTCAGAATTCCCTAGCTCTGCACTCTCAGCAAAACCTGTCACCAAGAGAGCAGTTGCAGAGGCTGCTCAGCATGACAGAGTACCTCGCCCAGTTGGTTTTGTGCCTCCTCCTCCTCCATGCCCCGGGAAGATTCGCCATTTCGATATTTAGGCTGTGTTTCAGACATGCAGTACAGCTAACTGAAGGATCAGTGTGCAGCAGCAACATCAGCACACAGACCACACACGACATCGACTGCAAATAAGTGAGAACGCTTGACTCTCAGCCCCAATGAGTTTTACCTTCCAGAGGGCAGAGCTGTGGCCAGGCTCTGGCAAAGCCCTGCTCCAAAATCTAGCTGATTACAACATATAGCAATACTTTTCTATACATACAGGGATTCTTTAGTTAAAATACAGAAACTTTTGTTTCAATGAAACTGTTGTAAGAGCTGTACAGCAGTTGTAGCTTTGGAGTAGAAACATCACCCGAAAGGTTACTTTACAATAAAATGTTCAATGCTTTGGTACCTTCTATCTGTATATATTTTCATTTAGTTGTCAAGTATCTCCTTCACAGCATTATGAGTCATATTCTGGGCTTGATTTCAAAAACAGTAAGCTCCTGCACTTCTCATCAGCTTCACTGGGATGTGTGGGTGCTGAACACTGCGGAAAATCAGGTCAGGCCTTTCTTTTGATCACACACCAGTAACACTAAAGATGTGGCAGGAAAAAAATGTATTTTTCCCTTCCACCTGTAGTGTTTGCTAGCATGTACCCACTTTTAATATCCACCAGAAGCACCTCAATACTTTTGGACATGGCATAAGAGTATCCATGTCTATGACAATAATAAAGAATCAGGACATATTAATTTCTGGCAGGCTGACAGCAAATACATTGCATTGTGTGTATTCCAGCAGATATACAGGTGCAGTATGGTCATGGGGTCCTGTATGGCCTGTGTGCATATGAGGAAATGCCAATTCAAGAGAACAAAAAAAATACATGAGATACATCTCTTATATAGTAGGACCCAGACAGTGATGGTAATTTACCATTGTCCTAGCAATCAAATCTTCCCTGAATTTCTGGCACATGTTAGAGGCAAAATCTATTCTAGGTAGAGAATTAATAAGAGCTGGGGCCAGAAGGATCTTTACTGCCAGCCAGACTGGAATTCTGCAGGCCCCGGGGAGCAGTCTCAGAGACAGTCATGAATCTTTAACCAGGAACAGCACTTGCTACAAGATAATTATCATGCAGGCAGCAAAAATTGCAGAACACATGTCATTTGTGAACTGTTTCAAATAACCTGTCCTGTTCTCCTAGTTACAACCTTCCAATATTCAGTAAGCAACACAACTAACATTTGCTCGTGCTGATAGAGCAACAGGTCACGGTACAGAGAGATTCTGCTCCGGATAGAGCAACAGGTCACGGTACAGAGATTCTGCTCCACTGTGTCAATGGGGAAAGGAAAAGCTGTAGGCACTTCCACCAGCACTTTAAAAAAGGGAAATCAGCCCAGACTGTATAACCATAGTCTAATGTGATGGCAGCACACTGAGGACAAGCTTTCACCTTTCAAGCAAATGCTGAGTTTTGCAGGCAGCGTGTTGCAGGCAATTGCACCAGCCGCTGCCAGTCAGTTGCTGAGGGATCTTTTGCTTCTCTGTAAAACAGTGACTCCAGTATATTCTGCATGCAGCCATTCCTTCAAAAAGTCCTAGTACCAAGCAGTAGAAATGTCTTGATGTAGCAAGATAGGTGGCCCTCCCATCTCACTGCATGAGACAAGTACAGGATTTAATGAAACGATGACTATTATGATCTGCATTACTGTAACACCAGGTACATGAGACTTTTTAAAACTAGGAATTGCCTGAACTAAACCATACAAATTGTCTTGTATATAATGAAATAGGCACTAAGTTATGAAAAAGGCAGTGTTTTCTAGACTTAGAAAATTATCTGATGTCAGAAACAGTATGTTTATTAAAGGGATCCCTGCCCACAGGGATCTCTGAACTCCAGAAATGTTGCATTTTCTTGTTGCCTTTTCCAACCACTCAGAGCAAAGATATGTAGGAGAACATCTGCAGCCTCCACACTTCACAGATATTCTCCTACACCTGGTGTAACTACTCCATTGTTTCCTAAAAAAGGAAGAAGAAAAAAAAGGGGAATTTTTCTGTGCATTCCAGTTGGTAGCTGCACTTGATCTTCTTTCTGCTTAACACTTGCCGTCTTAAGGACACATTGTGCCCTCTTGCAGATCCATTTTCCATGACTGCTTTGAAGCAGTCACTTTGTCTCCCCCCAGTATAGCCCCATATTTATGCACCTGGGCCTTAGTAACAGATTCAGTATTTAATAATAGATTCTCTGGGCAAAGAGAGTTATGAAATGGTGATACATAAAATACAAATGCTTCCTCCCCTGAAATGCAGCATGAACAGTTTTACCAGGTCTTCATCTCTAGCTGACAATATTTTTCAGCTTTCAAACCCTGTTTTGTGTAAGCATATGTACTTCATGTGCTGCTTTGGCTGGACATGCTCAGATTTCCCAGCTGTGTCCGTGTTTTGAGGTCAGCTACTTCAACAGGGAATTTTTTTCCTTTCCAGTCAGAGGAAGAGTACAAAGAACAGAGTCAGGGACATAACAATTCCCCATTATAAGAAGCACTGACACAGCCAGTACTAACTGGCACCCATCTCCATAGAAATGCCACGCACTGTAAAGATAAAGAAAATGAGTTATTATCCTTTAGCCGCAGGGGAAGCATCCCCAGGCACAAGGAACAATGTGAGTGAGTCTGCATTGCTGCTTCTGCTGTTCCTGTACTATGGCTACAGCAGCATTTCTCAACATTCACCCCTTGTATCCCTTCCCTCCAGGATACAGTCCATACATTACCCCTCACACTGAGTTTGTAAAGCAACTGGCAACTGACACATGAGGAAGCTCATTCTAGCAGCCATGTACTCCTGTCCTCTATCTGAGTTTTGCACCTCTGCCACCAAAGTCTTCTTAGAAGAGTTTCAGCCCTAGTGCTGTTGCAGGTCTTCTGGCTGTATGCATAATCCTTCCCAGCTTTCTGTGGATATTCTCTGGGACAGGTCCTGCTGTGCCCCAGAGGAACATGCTTTGAACACTGATGGGCTGAGATTCTTTATAATGCCAGTAAAAACATGACAATATAGAAATTTTTACACCCTCCCCCCAAACTTTGCAGTGGTATTAGAGACAATTATGCCCTTCACTTGCACTTTTCCTTCCTCACTCAATAAAACCCTCAAACCTAAAGGTACTTCGTGTCCTTCAGCAGATACCTGTGATTGCAGAGTCTCATGACAGAAAATGAGGACCAGGGCAATGGTAACTCAACTTCTGGTATCCTTCAAGGTGAAATACTGCAGAATTGTGCCCTAGAAACCAGTGACATTCACTGGGATCCTCCCCAGATAATGGCAGTTTTCACTTCACTGGATCTTTAAGACAACAGCTACTTGTAAAGTTATTCCACTTTGTCTTCAGCATGGAGTTCCTGACAGGTTATTCACAAGGCACACAGCTGTCATTTCAAACTAAATTTTCTTCGAGCAGAATTTTCCATGACCCTTGAGGGGTCTCCATGCCTCCAGAGCTAAGGGGTAGCATTCATCTGTAAGTATCCAGCTAAGAAGAAATGCTCACGGAATGAATCCAAACTGAGCTTTCTATCACAACCAAACTGACTGCATGCAATAGAATCAATATATTTGTTTACAATTAGAAGTTAACAAATACAAAGTACAAAATCAGTCAATCTTGTGGCCTTTCTCCATTTCCTGTTCAAACTACTGAGACCTTTGTCATTGTCTTATTTGGGAGAAGAACTGGATCACTGACAGAACAGAGTTTGAGCCAGACCTGTCCCACATGTAGATTTACTCAAGCAAATCTAGTTTCTTAAAGAAGCAGCTTTCTGTATATATTCTTGTCCCTTGCCATGAGGTCAAAGTTGCATGATCTGCCCAGTGAAGTCTGAATTGGAGACGGAAAGCGAGAAAGTGGAAGTGCTCTCTGGTCTCAGAGGGAGAGACAACACTTCTGTAAAACCTTGTAATCATTGACTTAGTGTTTGTTGTTGCAGCTTTAGGTTTAAAGGTGATGGTCAGTATGTAATAAAAAGGGAACACAAGTTTATAAAGAGACACAGCTCCACTACAAAACTCTGCGATTTCACGCAGGTCTCAGCACCTCCATCCTGACTTTCCACTCTGATCTGCTGCACTGGCTCTCTGAGCAGGATGATTTGGCTTGTTTCGATGCTCTTTGGCATCCAGGTGCTTTGCTCCTGCACTGCTGTCTCTCCTCCCAGGGAAGTTGCTGCTGCACTGCTCTCCCCCCGCTGCGACGACCCTGCAGTAGAGCATGCTACAGACATGGCTCTTCGCCAGATCAATGCTGATAGGGAAGAGGGCTACATATTCAGTCTCTACCGAATTTTCAGCGCCCGAGAACAACCTCAGGTAAGTTACCTGCTTATTCTCTATCTGTTTCTTCCATGAAGTGCCCTGTGTCTATCACTGTGCCTTAACAATATCTATTTGAACTAAGAAATATTTCAAAAGGCCAATGTAAAGTTCCATTCACAGGACTCCAGAGGCCATGTCAACTTTATGCACAGATGACTAGAAACAGTTTCATCACCACTGTGGGCAATTAGAGAGCAAATCTCAGTCATGATTCTCTGCTGCCTGCCCCTGGAATAGCTCCAGGCATCAGTTCAAATTTGATATGAAACACCACTACTCTGATCTAATTTCTTTTTACACCTTCCTCCCTCTGCCTTGAGCAGTTGGAGTGCAAAGGTTATTAAGTCATCGTGTGTTTTGCACAAAAGATGTAAGCACTAACAGGTGTAAACACGTCCAGCTTGGGACCAGGGAATTCCTTTATAGACCTCTAAATGATGACTCATTCTCCAGAAGAAATCTGAAACCAGGTCAAGTGCAAAAAATACACTGGAAGTACCTATGGAATATCACTCACATTTCCTCAAGTATCTTATTTCTCTATGTGTGTTTAATTTATTACTCTTCTGTGTTTCAATCTACTGGCACTAGCTAGGGACAAGCTGAAATGAGTTCACAAGGCACGATGGAAGCATAATATCCACATTCCCTGCAATGCCTGCTCACTTCCCATAAGCTTACCTGAAAGGCTAGGAGTTCTGAACTCTAAAATAAAGTCAGGTTCATTGACAGATGTTTAAAGATCTGTGCTGGCAAGGGTATGACACTACCTCCTGCTGCTCTGACAAGGACATGGTTTCTGCAGACACTCTGTGGCCTGCAGCAATCTGAGATCTCACAGCTAAAGATGTCCACTCTGCTGTGCTTTGCACTATGTTCTGCACATTGCTTTGCTCAGGTGTCAGAATGTGCCCACTAAGCAACTGGATCAGGTCTCTTCAGAATTTTTCTACATGTGATGCCTCTGAGCTAGCCCAAGACCCACACCACCAGTCACAGAGTTAGGTACTTAGACTCTCCTGCTGGGGCTATTTCCCGCTGCTGACAATAAATAGAGTCCCCCTGTGACCACCCTAGAGTGCAGCATGGTGGGTGCAGATGTGCTGTAAACCACTTCAGTCATCTCCATGTTTCTCCCTTCACTTGTGCCAAGCATATCTCAGCACAGAAGAATTCTGGTCCTTGTTTGTGGTTTGGTCTGTCTCCCTAGAGACTTAACTTCTTTCTTTAGAGCAAGCATACTTTGTTCATTTAGGGGTCTAATTTACTGTTATCCTTCCTTATTTTTCACATCTAATATGTTTATCCTGTAAATAAGGTGTTTCATAACAAACTAGACATTTCCAGCCCCTTGTCCCATTTTTGCTGCTGCTGGGACTGAGGACATAAGGAGCAGTCAGGGGGGTTCATGGGCAGTAACAGCCTTATGCAACCTCCTATTCCTCTCAGAAAAATAAAGAAATTCTTTTCTTTTTTTTTTCTTTTTTTTTTTTTTAACACCAGTTAGTGGTCCTCCCGCTCACTTTCTTTACCAGTTCCGAGGATAAAAACATTTTCAAAGTTACTTCAAATCTGCCCTTAAGCAACTTGTAGTTCAGTTTTGCTCTAATTGAAACTAATGAGCCATCTGCTACTAACTTGTATGCAAGTAGGACAGAGCTTACTTTTATACAGGATACTCACAATTAACCTCACTGACAGGCACTTAACCAAAATTACAAAACGTGCCAAAATATCTCATTTCTTCCCCTTGCACCAGGTCATCCTGCCACAAAGGCACCACTGCACTGCTGCTGCATCTCTTCTGGCTCACAGGCTGCCCAGCACACTTTGCAGCCTGGCACCAGCAGCACTGAGGAAGGGATTTTTTGGCAATGCAGAAAAGTTTTTATTCAATACTAAGCAGATATCAAAAGGCCTTTGCATAATGGTCTTCTAATGAAAATTAAAATAAGGATGATTAAACCTTCAGTGATCTGCTGAGCTCTGAATAAGCCCCAAATTATCCTTTCCCCAGTGGAGGAGGATACATACAGAAGCAGGTAGACCAAAAGATGTGTAGATTTTATAATAACCTCATCTGCTTATTAGAGCTGATATTATACAAGAGAGCTACAGGCAATGAGAAATACAGTTTAGTCTGCCCTGCATGCATTTAGTGATTCCAAGATCACTAGCCTTTACAATCAGTATTCATGAGTCAGCTGAGAAAACCCATCTAACACCAAACACATTTGATTTTAAGAACATTTCTTTAATGAGATGTGTATGCTTTTCATCCAGAATACCTTAACAACCAACTTGAAAGCTCAAGTCACCTGTTCCAGCTATGGGACTCCTTAAAGATACACATTTTTCTTGGCTATCTCTTCTTCATGCAGGATAGTCTTAGTGATGTTTTCCTCTCATAGAAGATATATTGAAAGTTACAAGCTTGTACCAAATGCTGCATTACTCAAAACCACATTTTCAGCAAACAGCAATTACTCTTTGACAAGTCTTCCTTTCTGTTTACTGCTTTAAGCTATATTAGCTGTTACGTTAGGGGGACATATCATCACGGTATTTAGGCACCTTGTATGTAAACAGAAAATTATGATTAGCTCCTTCCACAAATGGATCTTTGCAGTCAGGTGTGGGGATACTGCAGTGCCACTGTACACAGCACTGCTGCACCTCAGTGCCACTCTTTGTCAAAGCAGCTTTTGATCTTTTCACAGCCTTCAAAATGACACTTATAATTAAACCTCAGGATTAGTGTAGGCAAACCCTGAGAGCTCAGAGCAAGGCATTACCAGATTATTTCATAGAACACTTAGTGAAAAAAGAGGATATGAAAATACAAAAACAAATCACAGAAAGCGTGAGAAATTGCACATGTAAGAATAGAATATAGAGACAAAGCTAACAAAACAATTTAATAATTCTTTATATTAATTTTGCTATTTTATATTTAAAGGGTTTGGTATTACAAGTATGTATGGTAGAGCTCACATCAAATTACTATTCCAGACTCTTTACGGAGTTCTCTGTATGGTGTGATCAGAACAGTTTGTATCACTTGATCTCCTCAGAACTCAAGCACAGATACCTCCTAGTGGTTCTCTAAGCAGTGTAAAACCAAAAATCCCAGCACTACTCCAGCCTTTAGATGCCCTATTGACTGTTCTTTTGTCACTGTTAAACAGAAATCAAATCTAAAGCCAAAACCATAAATACTGGCCCTGGATTTCTACAAGACTCTTGCTCCATTTAATGTTTTCTCCATAACCCTGTGAAATCAACCAGGGATGAATGAATTCTGCTCTCATTCAGTGTTGTTTTTTCTCCCTCTTCAGCAATGGCATAATCTCAGTTTAAACATGCAGCTAACACTCACATCTAAGTTCTTTAGGAGGTATAAATGACAGCTGCCCTCTTTCCAGCTTTCCACTAAAGATATAAATAAAACATGATCCTACTAAGCTGTATCTTTGATAAATATGCTGGAAAGGAGTGTACCCATATCTACAGTGGAAGCAGAATTAGGAACTGCACCATGCAGCATCTCATCTTTCTGCACCACATGGTGTAATCACTAGATGTCTGGAGCTGCACTCCTAGTCTTTCCTTGTCTCTCTTGCGTGGATAGATGTTTGCCCAAAAGTTGAGCCTGAACTGCTTTGTGCACCCTGTGCTGCAGTGAACTGAATTAAGATTTCTGGACTTAAGCACAGGCTCAGGACTCAAGCACTGGACCGAAACTTTAAGTGACTCAGAGATATCCATGTGGGTATGCCAAGACATTGCCTCTTTATGACAAGTGCAAAGCATCCATACTCAAAGAACACACTACCCTAAGAAAGAACATATTTCTGTTTCTAATGCCTACTATGATTGTTCCATGGTAGCAGGTTTTTATTAGTTGTGGTATTTATTGTCTCATTCTTATTGCAGGCAAAATAACCTGCCTTTCAAATCTGATAATAAAATGCAGTTGACAATGAAAACATCATCATGTTTAGTCCTTATTCTTGGGTTCTGGTTGGTGCCAGAATCAGAAGGATAAAACTGACTCTAGATGGTTGTTCTTTAATTCAATCTGGCTTGAGGCATGACCAAACCTGTCCTAGCAGGGCCTGAATCTCACCTCGTTTGCCATTTTTGTCCCACAGTTTTCAGGATATCTGTGTGTCCCACACCTGTGTGTATTCCATTTCTCCTTTTTATGTGTTCCTACTTTGTTTGATACAAAACAAAGGGATGTGACCCTTTCTTTTTTGTTTTCAGGAGACCACTGGTTCTGTCTTCTATCTCATCTTGGATGTAGTAGACACTGAATGCCCTGTACTCAGCAGAAAGCTGTGGAAGAACTGTGCTCACAGACCTGCTCATTTAGCTGTAAGGATTTTATTTTCTTATTTAATCTCCGATATGATCAGTTACTGAGGTACATCAGGTACATCAGATACTCAGGTACATGACAGCAAAATCCCTACACATGCATTTTTAGCAGGCAGAAGAGTTTAGAAGAAATCAAAATCCATTTTTAAGGTCTACAGTTTTACTCTCTACCTTCTAATCAGTTTATAGACTGCTAAGATTTATTTTTAAAAATTAAAATTAAAGGAAAGTTTTTTGACTGGAGCCAATAAGCAGCCAAAGGAAATAGCCATGCTAGGACACTATTTAGAATAATGGTTTGCTTTTTATAGCAACCTTGTAAGAGTTTATTTTAAAGACAGCCTGTCAGGAAGGGAATAAAAGAAACTCACTTTTACATAACATGTGATTTTTGGTTTAGTTTAATTCTACCTTTATTCTGACAACTTTGCAAAAATTGCACTGAAAAAGGACAGAAAGGAAAGCTCAGCAAGATAAGCTGCAAAGACAGAAAGTGGTCTGAGACTGTTGCTACAGGTGACCAGAATGATTCTGAACAAGTGAAAAAAACCCTTATAAAATGAAGAATGAAAAGAGAGAAGTTCAATGTGAAGGGAAAAAAAAAAAGAAGTTATGATTAAATTGTCCTGGACTGCTTCCAAGGTCAAACAGTTTCAACTTCTAAATGAAAAACTAGAAAACAAAAAAAAAGAATTCTACTCCTTTCTCGTTACAGCTTTTTTTAGCAGGAAAAGGGTGCAAAGCCTATGTGGTCGATACGGCTTCAGTGAAGCCAAGAAATATATGTCCAGAGGCCTTGAGCACATGTGTGGCAATATTTAAGAAGCTCTTAGAGAACATATTTTCATATTTCTTTAGCATTAAAGCACAATGGATATTAATAGGTCAGTATTTTTTCTGCCATAAAGTCAGAGTATTACTGTGTGCAATGATGACCTTGCTGTGCCACAAAACTGATTCAGGGTCCTTCCCACCACTCTCCCTATGGTCACAGGGAGAAGGGGGAAGACAGGTGACTGGATCCAGGCACTCTGAGCTGAATCTCTAGGTTTAAGCTCTCTGGGTTCTAGATACAGACCTAGCTCCCGGGGTGGGGCCCTGGCTGTGGACAGCACTCTGTGACACTTGGGCACTTCCCAGCTGCCAGAAGAGTGTCCATGTGTAGAACACCCTGCAGACAAGAACTGCAATTGTATAGCTCAGAATTACACCAGGGGAAGGTCTGGCCTTTTATGTCTAAAGGAGATGCTTATAAACATGCTTCGTTGCCATTTGAGTATTAACAAAACTTTTGTCTTGAAAATAATTTCATGACTGCAAGGAGAAAATGAGCCACTCACTGTCTGGGTAGCAGATAATCAGTGTAAAGGGTACAATATTAATTGTGTCTAAATGTTTATATTGTTTTAGGTTTATGGTCAATGCAAAGCAATTATCTACATTAATCAGGCAAGAAATATTGCTCATCTGAATACTTATGAGTGCACTTTACAACCAGGTATGTCTTTAACACACTCTTTGTAAGAGGAATGGAAAAATGCTTTTTGCCAAATAGCATTACTTTAAATTTTAATTGTAATTATGACCCCACAGTATCTCCATTAGCTTCAGCCGCCCTGATTTTCTCAAGTCAGTGATCATAAGGTCAGTGAGGTCCTGCAGCTCAAAACAGTACAGTAATAACTGTTTTAACCCTGGGGACACCCAGCAGAGCCTCTGAACCAAAAAGCGTTTTCATGGGTTTGTGAAAGGCAAGCAAAACCAGCAGACCCACTGTCAATGGGCTGAACTTTCTCTGCCTCCACTGTGACATTTTTATGGGTCTGCAAATACAAAACAATTCAAAATTGTTGGGTGACTCAAACCGCATATTGTTACTCCAGGGGAGTTGAGGACAACGGGGTTGGCAGCAGAGATGTTTCTACAGTGACCTACACTATCAACATGCTCTCATGGTTATGCCTTTGCTAATGACATTGTTTTGCTTTAATAAAAAGTTCCATCCAGATACATTTGGTCAGTATGTCCTGACTGTCCAGTGAACGGCAACGTAAGTGAGCCCGAATGTATCGAGTCTGCTCTTCTATGTCTTGCCAAGTTCAATGAAGAGAGTGAACAAACTAACTATTTCTCTCTCCTCAATGTCACAAGAGTTTCAATGCAGGTAAGCCAAATCCCATCTGACCTGTGTTTACCCTCAAGAAGTACAGATCCTCCTGTTCTATGATTTGTTGTTTTGAGTTTGTATCTGTATAGTGCAGAGAATACTTCTACGCAGAACCCCCCTGATCTTCTTGATCCAAGACTTTGATTCCATTATACTGCAAAGGGAAGGGCTTTATGCAAAACTCAAGACACAGATTTGCTTCCAAAGTTTAGGAAAGCTTCACTGTGAGCTCTTTATTCTGCCACCACCGTGAATTAGCGATTCCCTAATAATTCATTGAATGAATTTAAACATGGTTTAAAACTAATTTTAGACTAACAGAATTAATGATCCCATGGCTAAGTCCTGTTTGTTCACCACAGTAATACCCAATCTCTCTGAAAGTCATTATTTATAGATGATGAGGTGGTTTTCCTTCTGTCTCAAACTGTTAGATGTTACTACAATACTTTTTTCAATCACTTCCATTTTCCAACCTGAGGTACTTGCATTTCAGAAATAGTTAAGAGATCCAGATGTGTATATAAATAGCCATAAATAATCAACATGACATTGAAGAAGGTCTTTGGATATGTAGTTCTACATTGGTGCTAACTTGTGACAAAATCCAAACTCATTTCAGCTATAGCCAATCCATGAGTTACCGAGACTGTGCATATATAACAAGTAAAAAATGACCAGGCAATAAAGCAGCACTGGCAAAGAAAAATTCTCCTGTAACACAACTAACAGTAATGCCTCAAGTATAACCTGTTCCTTCCACACTTAGCAGAAATTTTACATCTACTTCAAGTTCAGTAGAATTGTTCCTTCTTCCTGACACATGGACAAGGTCTAACTGCCACTTGCCTCTCATTTACAGTGGGTCTTTGGTCCTGCATACTTTGTAGAGTTTTTGATTCAGGAGACCTCCTGCTCCAAGAAGGAAAAGGTTGCTGACGTCTCCAAGTGTGAGCCCCTTCCATCAGATGTAGCTGTAAGCACTTTTCTTTGTACCAACACCTGTTTTCCAGATACTATGATTCCTCAGTGAATACTTAGTATATCTCCTTGGATCTTTGCAAACAAGAACCAAAACCCACAGGCATCTTTTTATGGATTGTAGCTCTATATTGTCATGCAGCTCTACAGAGTGCTTTAGAATAAACATTTCAGTAAAAGTTCTGAATACTTACCTAGAAGTCCATTAACAAAGAAAACAGAAAAAAAAATCCCATCCAGAAAGAGGTGGGGTAGCCATCACCTTACAGCACTGACTGACTCTTAAGGATTTTTTCCAAGGAAACAGAGATAGACAATAAATCACAAACAACACAGAAGGAGTATATTCATACTACAATCAGGTCAGCTAAGGAAAACATTTAAGAATTAAGGAAAAAATTATAAGAGAAACTGGAAGACTAAATGGGCATGATGTCAAGAGATAACATTTCAAGCCCAATCTTAACCGAGATCCAAGCCATGATACCTACAGCACAGTACAAACACAGCTATTACAAACAACATTTTGCCATGGTTTCTTTCACTAGTGTGGTGTGAAATTGGTTTTGTGTGGAAAATGATATTATGTTCCATTCCACAACTTGCCTGCCTAGGGAATATTCTGCTGCAGCAGAACTTAAGCAAGCTGTTGTAGTTTGGCCTTAGGTGGGCAGCTTATTTTTGCTATTGTGTTACCAACTCTCCTTTGCAAACACAAAGCCTTTTTCAGAACACTGCCTGCCTTCGTAAGCTTGCCAATCCCAAAATAATAGTTTACCCAAGCTGTTTATCCCTACAAATACACTTAGAAGCTGTAACTATTCAGCCTTTTATAATCAGTTATTTTACAAGATAGGAGCTTAGTATTAGTGCTACAATGTGAAAAAAAATGGTTGTATTTTCTTCTTGCAGCAAATCGGTTTCTGCCATGGCTCTAAAGTAAGATCACACTTGGGAGAGTCGGTCAGCGTGTCCTGTGAAATCTTCAGCCAGCAGGTATTTCTTAATCTAGTCTTAGTATTGCAAGAGTAGTACTTCTCTACAAAACAAGGATTGAACTTTTGAAAGCCCAGCCAGCCATTTTTAAGTGTTCTTATTCACAAACACAAGTGCTTCAAGAACGTAATAAGGTCAGATCAGGAAGAAATCTCTCTTGTGATGAAACAGACTGTTGTTAGCTGGATAAAAAGCCAATAAGGTAAGTATAGAGACGATTGTACAGGATGTGATCAGAATGCTCTACAAAGAAATTGTAAATCACAAAGGAAATGCAAGGGACAATAACTGTGTAGCTCCCCAAGTTCCATGCACCCATCTCCCCTGGCACAAGAAATAGTTCCATCTGTCTATCCTTAGAGTTTCTGTTCTGCAGGTGGTCTTGGCAGACTGGAATTGCAGCAGATCCTTAGTGTGAAGGATCATCTTCATATCTTAAAGAATTTGGAATAGCTTCAATATAGGTAATACTCATTTCTTGTTATTTAGGATCCTGCCACCAAAGAGGGGAAACAGGAAGCTAATCAGACACCTGGAAAACCCAGCCAGGATCAAGAAGCTTCCGCTTCAGAAGACAGTTTCTCCTCACACCTAGGAAAAACAGTGGGCTCGATTAAAATGCTTCCCCCTTCAGATGAGGATATCACTTTCTTTAGCCTAAAAGAAAGTCAAGACAGAGAGCAGGATGGAAAGCCAGTTCCACCTGGGGCTGTAGGACCTACACCCAGTCATGTTAGAGAAAAGACTCAAGTGAAGAAACCAGACTTGACCAAACCAGTCACTGAACCAGTTTTTCTTCCTTTTCCTGAGGAAGTTTCTGCATCAGACTCATGCCCAGGAGAAGCAAAGAAGATGGATGGCATCCTCCATCCTTTAGTGATCAGAAAGCCTACTACAGCCTAGTCAGCATCCAGTTGCCCCAGCTGCCTGGAACAAAACAACAGCCACGATGGCAATGCAATCATTCAACTTATGTGACATCTTCAAATAAATAAATTGCTTATTGCAGTCTTCAGTTTTGGAGTTCTCAGTTTTAAGAAAGCACAAAAATAGATTAGAAAGGATTTTTTTCAACATTTTCCAACCAAAGTGTTTGGCTTTTAATTCTCAAATTCCTTACATCAGGAAGAGCATGAAGGAAAGTTAACTGCATAGGGTAAGAGAACTTGGAGGGCTGAGACAGCCCAAAGGCATCACGAAAAATTTTTCCTCAGTAACAAGTCTGTCAGTGCCCAGTGTGGGATGACTGGATTGCTACTCCCCAAGGGATGGTGAAATGGAGCTGAGTTCGACAGCCAGGCTGGCAGGGCAAGGACCTGTCCCATGGTGTCTGAGCAAGGCAAGCAGGGCAGACCCAGGGATGGACAGGTCTTAGGAAGAAGCTGGATTGCTGTGTAAGTTCTTGGACAACAAGGCAGGTCTGAAGCCAAGTCAGAAAGGTGAGTTAGCAAAGGCATGGTCAAGGTCTGGTCTGCTTATGGTCAGAATAGGCAGAGACAGCCCAGTGGTCTCCAAGCAAGGCCACAATGACAAGACAAGTGTGAAGCAGACAGGCTGCAGGGCTGAACTGGGTCTGCACCAACAGGGTCCGTGGCCAGGCACAGGCACAGCGGTGGTGCAGCCGGAGATGGAGCTCAGGCAGGGCCAAAGTGCTGCAGCCTCAGCCTAGAGCAGTGTTGGAATGAGCTGATCTTTAACCCCTTCAACCCAGGGACAGGGGCCAAAGGTCACAAGGACAAAGGTCACTGGGGTTTAAGGTCAGCAGGACTGGAGGCCAAAGGTCACAGGGGTTAAAGATCACCAGGGTCAGAAGGTCAAAGTTCACAAGGTAAAGGATTACTAGGGTTGGGGGCCACATGGGTTGGGGTCAAAGGTTATGGGGCACAAAGCCCAAGATTGATGGGGTCAAAGGTCACTGGAGTCACAGGTCAGAGTGAGATTTCACCAGGATCATGACCTTAGGCTCTGACTTCTGTGACCTCTGACCCTGTGACTTTTTGGCCCCGATCTATGACTACATGTGCCCTTTGCCCTCTGACCTTTGCCCCTTGCCCTCTGACCCCTTGCCCCCTGACCCCTTGCCCCCAGGCCCAGGAGGCAAGTTGGGATGACAATGGTCAGGGCCACCAGACCTGGGAGGTGAGTCAGCATGTGACTCACCCTCGGCAGTAACACCCTTTGGTACCCACAGAGGGTCAGTGTCCTTCCCCTACTGGGGGTCAGTCAGACCCTTCTAGGCACAACCTTAAGACAGGTCTGGGTCACACCATAAAGACCCTACAAGAGCTTTGGACCACACCAGTCACTCCTCAACACTCAAGGGGTTGTGTTCATGATGCCAAATCAATGTTACAACCAGTGAGAGATGTCTCTGCCCAAATAAATGTGCAAACGAGACCATGTACTGAAGCCAATGTGCATTTTATTTAACAATAAATGTGGAGTAGAGAGACAGAAAGAGTTAGAAAAGAAGAGAGAGGGGGAATAGAGAGAGATAGAGGGGGAGAGAGAGTGAGAAAGCAGAAGATGGCAGAAGATGGTCACCACCCCTGGATCCAGCAGAGTCCCATTGGTTCTTCTTCACCCTAGGCTTCTTGATGGTGAGGGTCCTGGGTCATTCTGCTGGTAGAGGGGTCCCAGGTTGTTCTTCTGTGGGTACCACCTTTATACTGTTTCAATTCCAGGTATCTATGGAGGCATATTCCTAATTCACATGCGAAGCGAGCGTGAGTGTGCCTTCATCTGCATTCCTCCTCCAAGATTTCGGTGGTCTGACCCATAACTTGGAGTGATCTTTGACCGATGACATGCCTATGAGCAGTT